TCCGACAGTTCAATCGTGGGTCTTCACGATGAACGTTTTCATCGACGCCAATTACGTCGAGTCGGACGCCGCAAAGATCCGGTATGCGGTTTCACTACTAAGGGGCCCCGCCATGGACTGGTGGCGAGTCATCGTGACGTCGCCACGCGCCTACGAGCCACCGTCGCACGAGGAAGGGCCCTCGGGCCCAGCTGTCACCTGGAGTTCGTTCTGCGAGACCGCCCAATACAGCACGTGGGATGCGTGGTGCGCAGGACTTCGGGCGCGTTTTGAGCCGATCGCGGCTACAATTTCGGCGCGTCAGAAACTGCGCACTTTGCGCCAGCTCGGGTCAGTTCAAGACTACACCAGCGGTTTTCTCGCACTTTGCGAGCAGGTCGGCTACATGCACGAAGCGGAGCGGGTGGACCGTTACGTCGGAGGGCTGAAGCCGGATATCTCGCACGAAATAATGCTGCGCGGACTCTCTAATTTCAACGAGATTCTTGCGCTCGCCGAGAAGATCGACATTCTACGCCGACCGAGACCGGGGTCCTACTTCGGACATCGCCCTCGAGGACCGACCGAGCACGCCACTGTACATGCCGTTGCAATCAATGCAGCTGCCGCACCATTTAAGGGGCGCTGCTTTGCTTGCAACAGGCCGGGCCATCGCAAGAGCGAATGCCCAGAGGAGCTACGGCGCCGAGGAGCAGAGCAGGGGAGGGAGTCTCAGAGGCAGGGAAACGCCAGCAGTCAGTAGAAGTTGGGCCAACTACTGACGAGACTGCCTGCTCGCCCAACCACACCGACCCTCACCGAGTCACAGTACCGATTCACGCCATCGATCGGGCTCGGATGAATAAGGAGGGTACAGCGACGGATTGCCCGGTACTGATCTACGGGAAAATACAGGGAGCAGCAGTGAAGATTTTTATTGACGAAGGAGCAAGTCACAGCTTAGTTAATACCGCGACCGCACGGAATTTGCAGTTAACACTTAACCGATGCTTACCGGAGATAGACGCACGCTTAGTCGACGGAACACCACTGGCCATACGGGAAAAGGTGGAGCGTGTAAAAGTTCGCTGCGGAGGGAACTTCGGGTTTACACAGGAAATGCTCGCAACGACACTGGATGGGCACGACATTTTATTGGGACGTGATTGGCTGCGACGGTATAACCCACGAATTGACTGGACGACGGGTAGCTGCACAGTGCGAAGTAGTGGTAACTGGGTCGTCCTACCTCGCTGGCAGCCACCCGAGTCTTCGACGGTCCAAGTCAACGCCATCACGATGAAACGGGCTGTCGCTGCTGGAGCTGACGTGTACGCAGTAGATATAGCATTAGTAGAAAAAGAGGAGCAGCCGAGCGATTTTCAGAAACTGTTGGCAGCTGTACCACCCGAACTGCAAGCACTACTGAAACGGTTCCCGGGTATCTTTCCGGATGATTTACCGCAAGGGCTGCCACCTCAGCGGGCACATGACCATAGGATCGAGTTAGAGCCGGGGGCACAGCCAACTGTACAGCGCGAATTTCGACTGACACAGCCCGAGCTCGACGAACTAAGGAAGCAGTTAGATTACCTGTTAGAGAAGCAGTTTATCCGACCGAGCTCGTCACCGTTCGCCGCACTGATACTGTTCACACCGAAAAAAGACGGAGGGTTTCGAATGTGCATCGACTACCGAGCGCTTAACAGGGTAACAGTCAAATCATGATACCCCATCCCCCGCGCCGACGAACTGATCGACCAGTTGCGAACCACACGAGTATTTTCGAAAATCGACTTACGGGGAGGTTACCATCAAATTCGGGTCGAACCATCGGACTGCGCCAAGACAGCATTTAGGACTAGGTACGGGTCATTCGAATACACGGTGATGCTTTTCGGGCTGACCAACGCGCCTGCAACATTTCAGATGACCATGAACGAGGCGTTTAGGCCACTTTTAGATAAATGCGTCATAGTTTACCTCGACGACATTCTCGTTTACAGTCGGGACCAGCAGCAGCACTTAGTAGACCTCGAAGCAGTTTTTAAAATTTTAGAGACACATCGGTTATTAACCAAGGGCTCCAAGTGCGAGTTTTTTCGGGACAGACTAGAGTTTTTAGGTCACGTCATTTCGGAGGCTGGGGTTGAGATCGACCCTAAGAAGCTGGATACGGTAAAAGCGTGGCGTCCCCCGACGAACATCACGGGACTGCAGAGTTTTTTAGGGTTTGTTAATTACGTTCGTCGGTTCGTCCCCGACATGGCACGCTTAACAACCCCGCTCACTGATTTACTGCGCAAGGGGGTCCCGTTTACGTGGGGGGAGAAAGAGCATGCTGCCTTCTCTGCCCTAAAAAATATTCTCTGTTCACCACCCGTCCTACGCATCGCTGACCCACACCGCCCCTTCGAAGTGGTTACCGACGCGAGCGACATCGCCATCGGAGCTGTACTGTTACAGGACTTCAGCAACGGCCTCCAACCCATCGCTTACGAATCACGCAAGCTCCATCCACCTGAGCGAAATTACCCGATACACGACCGCGAAATGCTTGCGATCGTGCATGCATTCAAAGTGTGGCGCTGCTACTTGACCGGCGCAGACGTGACAGTACGGACAGACCATCGATCCCTACAGTACCTTCGCGCAAAGCCCCACCTCAACCCACGACAGATTCGGTGGCTCGTCTTCCTCGAGTCGAATTTCCACTATACGGTCACATATAAAAAAGGAGCCTCGAATATCGCTGACGCACTGACCCGCCCCACTGCCCAAATCCATGCGATACTACTCACCCAGACCAGCCCATTACTGACAGGACTATTTACCCACGGATATCAAACAGACCCGTTCTTCACAGGAGGAAATTCACAGCAATTCGCAGCAGCCAAGGGAGTCTATTACGTAAAAGCTGGAACCGACCGCATCTGGGTACCAGGATACACGCTACTACGGGAACTACTGTTATAGGAAGCACACGACGGAGTTACCTCGGGACATTTCGGAGTAGAAAAAACACGGCAGCAGCTGCAGCGGTACTACTACTGGCCGGAAATGTTGACCGACGTGCAACGACACGTGGCATCGTGTCCCACTTGCCAGCTCATGAAGTCAAGCAGGAAGCGGCCGGCGGGACAATTGCAACCAATCCCACCCCCAGAGCGTGCTTGGCAGCAGGTGACAATGGACTTCGTCACGGGTTTACCGGCTGGGACGAGTGGGAATGACACGATCCTGGTCGTCGTCGATCGACTAACGAAAATGGCACATTTCGCAGCGTGCAGGAAATCAATCACAGCCGAGGAAACAGCCCGACTCTTCATCACCACCGTCGTTCGACTGCACGGGATACCAGCGTCGATCATCAGCGACAGGGACACGAAGTTTACCAGTAATTTCTGGCGGAACCTATGGCAGCAGTTCGGCACGCGACTTCAATTCAGTTCATCCTACCACCCCGAAACCGACGGACAGACAGAACGGACAAACCAGACCATGGAGCAACTGATTCGAGCCACGTGCGACGATCCGAACACGTGGGAACAGCAGCTGCCTCTCATCGAGTTTGCGTACAACAACGCGCCATCCGCCACGACCCAACAGTCGCCATTTTACTTGAACTACGGACAGGACCCAACAGTACCCATGACACCGAATCCCGACAATCCCGTTCCACGCGCACAACAGTTCGCCGAGATTCTGCAAGCAGCACGGACCAGGGCAGCAGAAGCAATTAAAAAATCAAATATCATCGCTAAACGCAACGCCGATCGCCACCGCAGACCCGTCACTTATCAGCCCGACGACCTCGTGTTACTCGACATTCAAAACCTCCGCCTGCCCATCACTCCCAAACTCCGCCCTCGATACTGTGGGCCGTTTCGAATTAGCCACATGATAACACCCGTCACTGCGCACCTCCTCCTCCCTGCTGACTGGTACGTCAGCCCCTCGTTCCACGTCAGTCTGCTTCGCCCGTACGTCCCATCCACCAGCCAACTCCCACGACATCGGCCATCCAGCATGATACGACCACCAACCGAACCAGTCATCACCCCCGAAAAAATCTTGAGCCACAGAGTTCGCGACCCTCGAGGAGCCCGAAAAGTTGAGTTTCTGATCCGCTGGAAAGATCGTACACCCACCGAGGACAACTGGGTTCCCCTGGACAAAGTTGAAAACCACCCTGTCGTCACCGAGTACCTGCGCAGCCGAAACTTCAAAGATGTCCACGCACTTTTGTAAAAGGGACCTCCTTAGGGGGGGGGGGGGGGGGGGGGGGGTAGTGTAAGGAAAATCCCTTTTCCTTACTTCGCATCCCTGCTCATCGCGTACATCACTGTAGCACCTCAGTCAGCACCGTTACCACTCGCGACCATCGCATCGACACCCATCCCGCCATTTTCGCACATCGCACCCCGACCTCACGGCTCGGCGGGTAACCCGCGCTCCGGGCCTACGCTTCGACATATTTCCTAACCTCAGTCCCAGGTTCGTTGCGCGACAACCACAGTCCATTACCGTTACCACTGTAGTTACGCTATATATTCTTCGCTCATGCCTTCGCTCATTGGACTCTTGCTTCGATAGTGCAATTCTCGTTCGTTCACTCAATTGCACTCGTAACACTGGCAAAAGGGCACTATCTTGTATGTGAGCATGTAAGAGCTGTTCGGAGTTCCTTTGCCATGCTACACTCACGAACTTCCTGACACAGAATACGTGGCAGCATCTAAACAGTCGTCCAATAAGCCAGCACGTCGTCAGCATGGAATGGTCGGTTAGCCGCCAGTCAGACGTCGTCATTCTTCACGTCAACCACTGAACGTCAGCAATTGAAGTCTTGCCAGCTCAGCAGCGTCGTAAGTCTGTTGTAACTGGTGAGGACGGCTCGCTGTATTACAGCTCTCCGGTTCAGGGTAAACTTCCATATGTTTCCTAATGTTTGTAGGCCTTGCTCGCATCTCTGCTGTAAGTTAGTGAACTCTGTAGATTTTTTAACGTTGATTGAAGTTATGATCATTCGTAGCCCGTGTCAGACATCAGGTCAGACACGAAGTGGAACCTCGGAAGATCCGAAGTGGCCCGTTTGTAAGGCAAAATCGAGTTCGGAAGAGGCAAAATTTTGACTAAGGACTGATGACTTGATATCTGACACTCGATACGAATGCGCCCTTAGCCTAGCCAAGCTATAACGTACCTCGCCATTTGGGAACGCATGATACCGCCAAGCATCCCTCCAAGTGGATGCAAGTTCTGCACTCAAACTATTTTTTTTTTCGAGGGTAAATGCAACGAGAAACCAGCAGCCTCAACTGCGATGCGTCACATCACATCCCCAATCCCAGAACTTCCCATTTGAGCAGTCACCAAAGCAGCCAGCACAAATTCTCCCCACCCCCGTTCCTCTCCCATATCACTCCCGCAGGTGCCGCTGCTGCTTTCTTTCTCACTGAGACGCATTCCAACAATTTGCCGCAACGTCGAGCAAACGCATTCAGAGCAGTCGCAGCACCTATTTTTTCACCCATTTTTCGAAAACATCGCCTATCGTCCTCCGTTGCAGCTCTTCCCTACGTACCGTAAAACTTTCTAGCGACCATGGCCTCCAAGCGACTCCAGACCCTATCGGGTGAGATTCTCCGTCGTCTCGCCGCATCCCTTCCAGAATAAGCATAAGACTTTGTAATGCGTTCACAATTTTTGCATCCATGATTCACCCAGTGTTTTTTCAAAACCAACCTTCTTTCCTGAAATTCGTATCCATCCAGCCTGGTTCTCCGTACAACGCAGCGTCACGTCCCATCCACGTCCCATCCACATCCTTCCCCTTCTCCTTATCGCATCAATCGTTCGTAGCACGTACGTCGCCGATTCTGGAATCGACGCATGGGGCGATACGTTCAACGCGACTAACTTGGAGTTCCTGACGTTCGCGGCGACCGCGCCGATTCGCGCATCTAGGAAGCTTGGCATCCTCCCTTTCCCCGGCTTTATCAAGTGTAAGCATAAGTATGGCGTTTTCCTCTCCAAATTAGTTTGCTCACTCATTTTTGAGTCGACTCAAAAGTCATCCCCTTTCCCCGGCTTCATGTGTAACCCTAGAGATGGCGTTTTCCACTCCAAAGTAGTTTGCAAATTCATCTAGAGGTCCGAGGCGCACCCAAAAGCCACGTCGAATTCAAGATCGGACTTCATTCCATACACGAGCTACGGCTAGTAGTGGTCGCTGTGGTATTTTCCTTTATCAAATTAAACTTTTGCATTGAAGGTATTTATTGGTCAATAGTACAAGCCGTGCCGATGCATCCGCGGCGAACTCGCAGGTCGTTTCTGCACCGTTTTCCTTTTCGATAGGCTACCGCCACGTCTAGAAACTTCTCGTCCGTTCTCCGTTCCGTTGGATTCAAGTTGAATATTTGGGACGCTAGACGAGAATTGTCCGTGGTTGTTCGTCCGCCTTATAAAAACGAAGCCTCAATAACAAACCACAATGCAACCGCAAGGGTCTGTGCTCAGAATTCTGCTTTTGAGGCGCCTCAAAAACAGTGTGTGCTCAACAGGCTGTGTGTGGCAGGCGATGCGTTGGTGGCGTCTGAGCGCGGGTGGCCTCGTGCATCCTATCTTCGGGAGGGAACTCACAGAGCTGCTCTCAGAGCTGGATGCTCTCAGAGTTGGATGTTCTTAAAGTTGGGTGCGGACTTTTGAGGCGCCTCAAGAGTTGGATGCGGACATCTCTTGAGACGTTTCTCTCTTCTGATCTGTGCTGTGCTGTGCTGCCGAGCCGTGCCGTGCTGCTGAGCCGTGCTGCCGAGCCGTGCCGTGCTGTGCCTGTGCTGTGCTGTACCGTGCTGTACCGTGCCATGCCGTGCCGTGCCTGTACCGTGCTGTACCGTGCTGTACCGTGCCATGCTGTGCTGTGCCTGTACCGTGCTGTACCGTGCTGTACCGTGCCATGCTGTGCTGTGCCCGTGCCGTGCCGTGTGTGCTCGTGTGTGGCAGGTGCGCTGGTGGCAACGTGGGCAGTGCGCACGATGGATTGGGGGGAGATGTTGGGGGGAGATCCCAGTGCAGCAGACGGATTTTGTCACGTGCTGAAGGCTTGTGTCACCTACTGTGTGCTGTGCGGTGCCGTGCGGCGCTGTGTGGTTCTGTGTCGCAGGCGAGCTGGTGGCAGATCTGAATGCGCGCAGTGTACAGTCCATTGTAGGGGGAGATCCCGGTGTGAATGGCTTCTATCAATCTCTGAGCCCGGGCAGTGTACAGTCCATTGTTGGGGGAGATCCCTCTTCTGACGGCGTGGCTTTGGTGCATTCCCGGTGTGAGTAGCTTCTATCAATCTCTAAGCACTTGTGACACCTGCCGTGCACTGCGTTGTGCGGTGCGGTGCTGTGCGACGCTGTGTGGTTCTTCTGTTTGCAGGCGAGCTGGTGGCAAATCTGAGCCCCGGCAGTGTGCGGTCCATTGTGGGGGGAGATCCCACTGCTGACGGCGTGGCACTCGTGCAAGTCTACAGGTGAGGGGCGCCGGGGGGGTCTGATTTTCAAATGAAGGTGAAGGTGTGGGCCAAGTTGAGTCCACCCTCGGGGGAGATCCCATCGCTGAGGGATCTGGTTCAAATGGTGCGGCACCGGTGCAAGTGTACAGAGGTACAGCCTTGAGCCTTGAGGACCAGGAGAAGTGCTTGGCTTGGCAGTGGACAGTCCATTGTCGGAAGTAACCCCTGTGGCGGATGGAGTCACTCCGTGTTGCTGCTGTTGCTGGCTGCAACCTGCAGTGGCTCGCCCAGAATTTCATGCGCCAGGAATTTCTGGCGCCCGGAATCTCTGGCGGCCGGAATCGCTGGTGTTGCTGGGTGCAACTTGCAACTCCACTTGAAGAGTGCAGGCTGGGGCGCCCGGAGGTTCTGGTGCAAGGCTGCAGAGGTCTAGTCTAGCCATCCATTTCTCTCCTCCCCTCGCCCTCTCCACCCCCCATGAAAGGTACAACGGGCAGACCAACGTGCACATTCGCCTGCGAGCGCACGCGCTCTCCTCTTCCCTCATCGCCCAGACTGTAAACAAAGCCCACGCAGGCATCAACGGCCCGCCTGTGTGGGTTGTCCTAGGGCAATGGACCCGCAGCAACAGCAACAACGCGTACAACTTGCAGAAATGGTACTATGAGGCTAATAAGAAGTACCCTCCTGGCTCTGCTAGATCCGTGCACTCTATTGTTCGGGAGATCGCCGGGGGTCCGGGGCGGTACTATGCTGTGGTGAGCTCTGTGACCCGGCCTGTTGGGGCGATCAGGGGGCAGTTCAGGCTCGCGCTGCCGTTTTCGCTGTACCCGTGGAATCCGTGCTAGTCTGGCTTTAAGTGTCATTCAGGGTGCTGCTGTTCCTGCTGTACCCGTGGAATCCATGCTAGAGTGGCTTTAAGTGGAGCTTCTATGGAGTTTAGAGTGCCGCCATTCCTGCTGTACATATGCAATGGCTGGGGCGATAGAGCCTTACAATGCGGAAGCGGGTCAATGCCAGGGGCATATAGGGAGACTTAAAACAGGAACCACTTGAACAGTGAGTGCTGCTGGCCTGCAGTGTCCTGGATAGTGTGAGTGGGTAAATTCTAATGGGTAGCCTCTGAATCAGTGGTCCTCTGGTGGTCTTACCCCCTTGAGGGAGGGTGAAACACGGTATTGGTCTCAGCAGCAGTGATATAGAAGGTGCGAGGAACCTGCTGGTGCTGGAGCTCACTTCCTGTCCGCTTAGGTGCCTAGATACCAGAATAGTGGATGTGAGGAGCATCCCACCTACCCTGCTGACACCCACCGTCTGTTCTTGTCTTCATCGAGTACCTCGGTATTTGTTTCCTGAATTGGCCGCCTCTTACACTAAATTCTCAACCTGCTTTACGGTTTGCTGATTAAGTCTACATGTGCTGAATTGTATATGTACACTACGGCCTTGTTCTCTTCACCTCCTATGGTACACACACATCCAGTCCAAACCCCTGCTGCATGATTCTCCCAGATGCAACTGCAGCCACCACAGCAGTCACTCACTCACCGGATGCGTGCATTATTACTTACGTGGTACCTGTATCGGAAGGCAAATCAATCATGTACCGTACCAGAGTAACATTATTCATTTGTCAATGACGGGTTTTTCAAGACGGCAGCAGACCAATACTATCGTTCTATCTTGAACAAATGAGAAATTACATGTGGGGATGGCATGGAATGGTGACCAGACAAAATCAAATACCAGTAAGCCATCTGCCCCTTGAACAGGTGCTTTATTCCAGCTGCAGTAATGTGCCCTCTACCCTTTCCCCTCCTCCCCGGTCACCAGCAAACCCACTATGCTTAATTCCTGGATGGATGCCTTGTCCGTCTCCCCGCCGTGTCAGCAGCAGCACCAACTGACCAACCCTGCTTTATTCCAGCTGCGATGAAGCGTCCTGCACCCCTCCTCCCCTCCCCCCCCCCCCCCCCCTCCCGAACACACCAGCCTCACTTTGCGTTATTACCCAGCAGGATGTCTTGTCCCTCCCCCCGCCGTGGCAGCAGCACCAACAACAGACTACCTGGCTTATTACCAGCCAAACCCCTTTGCCCTCTCCCCTGTCCCCCTCTTGCCCATCATGTGGCGATCCAGGCTGATTCGGTACAGCAGTACAAGGCGCTTGTACACACTTTCCCCTCCTTGCTCTGGAGGCGCCTCAAAAGTGCTCGCACCACAGGAAAGCCTCCCTCATCCTCCTCTCGCCCCTCATGTGGCGCTCCAGGTTGACTTGGCATAGAAAGTACACACGCACGCATGCACGCACGCACGCATGCACGCACGCACGCACGCACGCACGCACGCACGCACGCACGCACGCACGCACGCACGCACGCACGCACGCACGCACGCACGCACGCACGCACGCACGCACGCACGCACGCACGCACGCACGCACGCACGCACGCACGCACGCACGCACGCACACACACACACACACACACACACACACACACATTCTGTTGACAGGCAGTACACGGCGCTCGCTCGTACATACACTCTCCCCCCTGCTCTCTCTCACCACAGGAGATCGTTCCCCTGCGCCAGCCACAGCACCAAAAGACTCACAGTGTCCATTCCCTCACTATGGGAGATGTCCTCCCCTGGGCCACCAGCGGCAAAAGCAGCAGAAGACCCACACTAGGGGAAATGGTGCTCGTACACACTCCTGCCTCTGCCCCCACAAGGAGAGATGCTCTCCCCTAGGCCAGCACCAGCACCACCAGCACCAGCAGCACCAGCACCAGCACCACCAGTACCAGCAGCAGCACCAGCAAAAGAAGACTCACACTGCCCAATCCCACAGGGATGCCTCGGCCCTCTCCCCTTCGCCTCCCATCCTCCCCTTGCCCCTCATGTGGCGCTCCAGGTTGATTTGATACAGCAGCGCATGATCATCGTACACACTTCTGCCCCTGCTCTCACTAGGAGAGATGCTCTCTGTTAGGCCAGCACCAGAACCAGCAGTACCAGCAACAGCAGCAGCAGCAGCAGGAGCAGCAGACTCACACTCCCAGATGCTGTCCCGCGCCATTGCATACCCCCCAGACACTTCCACACATGCGCCAGCAGCAGCGCGAGAAGGAGCAGCAGGAGCAGCAGGAGCAGCAGCAGCAGCGGCGGCAGTAGCGGCAGCAACAGCGGTAGCAGCAGCATTAGCAAACTCACACGCCCAGGTTCTACCATGCGGCAGTGCATAGCCCTCGGGAACAGCTGGCAGTGTGAATGGGCTGCTCCGCCGCTGCATGCCGCGTGCATGCACACGCGCCCTGAAACTCGGCTTGTGATGCGACTCAAGCCCAGGTCCGCTGAAACTCGGCTCCACAGGTGCGCTGAAACTCGGCTCCACAGGTGCTCTGAAACTCGGCTCCACAGGCCCAACAGCCATGAGACAAGCCACATGGCTTTGAGGCGCCTCAAAACTAGACGCCCTGAAACCTGGCTCCTGAGAAGTCTCAACGCCATGTGCGCGCACAGGTGCGCTGAAGCCCGGCTCCACAGGCCCAACCGCTTTGAGGCAACACACAGGGTCGCTCAACGCTGCAAAAGCTGACTTATGAGACCTGGCGTCACACGAGGTGCATCCCCCATAAGGGGCGTACCACTGATGGCCTGGCATGGATAACAATCCCCAGGATGACACTCCCCTTTGCTCGTCTGCTCCACCCGCACCTCCTTCATCATCCCCCCCTGCAGCCTTTTTCTCTTTTGCCTCTTTCTCTTTTGCCTCTTTCTCTTTTGCCTCTTTCTCTTCTGCCTCTTTCTCTTCTGCCTCTTGGCTCAATCCCAAACGAAGGGACAGATCCACTGACCCACACGCCGGGCTTCTGCCTGATCCCGGGTTCCTCGCAAGAGATGCGTTTTGAGGCGCCTCAAAGCTCGCCTCAAGGCCTCTGCCTGATCCCGGGTTTCTCGCAACAGATGCGGCTGCAGTGGAATGGTCGGGAGCACTGCTGCTTGGGTAGGGAGTAACGGCATGGTGGGGGTTGGCAGGCAAGAAGCTCAGAGAGTGTGTGCTTTCAAAGGGAGAAGAAAGAGGTGGTGTGGTGGCAGCATCGGCTGCGGAGGGAATGGCGGCAAAAGTTTTTGAGGATGTGTGTGGTTCCGGGGCCTTTGGGAGGCTGTGAGGGTGTGTGTTGGGAGCAGAGCGAGGGGGAGGGAGGGCAGGGGAGTGTAACAGGGGTTGGTTGCCTCCATTGCAAGCCCTTTGAAAGGGTAAAAGACTCAGCTGTCGTTCCATCTCCTGTGCAGATGCTTGCACGTGCTGCTGCTGCTGCCGCTGCTGCTGCCGCAGCTGCCACTGCTGCAGCCGCTGCTGTAGCTCCTGCTGCATCTGCTGCAGCTGCTCCTGCTCCTGCTGCTGCTGCCGCCACCACTGCTGCTGCTGCAGCAGCAGCTGGTGCTGTAGCTGCTGCTGTAGCTCCTGCCAGTCTCGCGAGCCAATCCAGTCGCGCCATGTGGACACGGTGCTTGCATTCCGCCCCCCACTATCCACACGCTCCCCGTTTCCCTCAAAGCGAAAGGGCCAACTTTCCGCCCGTCCCGCCGTTCCCCCACTCTCCCCGCTTCCCCCGCTTCGTTCCCCTGCCGCACCCCCCACGCCCTGGCTAGATTCCCCCAGCAGCCGCCCATCCCAACTGCAAGCAGCTGCTAGTGCCTCCGCCCGGGGAGTGAAACCTTCGGGTTTGCCACTGGCAGCACTCTGTGCGGCTGGGACCTCCGCGAGGGCAATGGTGGGACTAGTAGTACCAGCACTGCTGGTACCAACCCATGGGCCGTGCAAGGTCAGCCCTTCCACAGGAGATCTGCACTGCAGGTCCCTTTCCCCGGAAAGCTGCGCCTCGGCCTTGCCGTGCTGGCTCCACGTACGCGGTGCTTGGGGAAGGAGACCGGTGCTGTGCGGTCCGGTACGGTTGCTATTTGATGTGATAGTGTTGCACGGCAACTGAGGTGGCTCGGGAATGAGAGGCGCGGCGGCGCTCCTCGCCGTGACTCCGAGTCGGCTCACTTTATAGCTCTGCTCTACTTTATAGCTCTTGCACGGCGCCTCTGCCGCCGGCTGCTCTTCAGCTGCCTGCTCTGCTGCAGGCTGCTCTGCCGGCGCCGCCGGTTCTGACTCCCGCGTCCTCTTCCGTGGCCACGCCTCCTCCGCTGACAGCTGCTGCTGGGCGCCGGTAGTAACGGGCGGCGAGGCGAATCTACTAGAATCGGCAGGGGGTGCAGCGGGTGCGATCAACCAGCTGCGTATCATGGCGACTCGGAGCAGTTCCGCGCTCACGGAGGAGTCGCCGTCCCCGCGTGGCTCACAGCGGCGGCTAGACGCGGGGGCGGCGGCGCCACGGATGAGCCGCGGCTCCAGCTCGTGCGATACATCGCACCTGGACGCGCCGATGCGGCCACCTCCCGCCGCGGCGTGTTCGTTTCTGCGGGGAAGGGATGCGGCCGCCCCAACGGTTCCGCTTAAGGCATCGATGTGGCGGCGGCCGTGCGACGGAACATAAGGGGGATAGAAAAATAGCTTGTTCGAGATGAGAAAACGGAGATAATCGCCGTCAGGGGGCGTCATGACGATGATCAGTACTGATCAGCAACGTTGCTGAAAAGAGGCAAATGCTGCGGTTGCTGAGGAGAGGGGAAACGGGACAGCAGCTTTGTGAGAGCCTCTCTGAGAGGAGTAGGCTGGGTGGTCCGTCAGGCTTTTGGCGGACTGACAGGGTAGCAGTATTAGTACACTCATGACAGCCGCTTGAACGGTGAGATAACGAAGAGCCTGACGACACATGAGAGGGATGAGTGCTAGGCGACTCGCGAAGCTATAAGCTGGCAGCTCGGTAACAGATTGACCTGGATCGAGTGGAGGAGGAACTCGCTCGAGATTCCAGACCGTGTCAGTGCTAGCAGCACTGTTGTTTCTCCAGCACAGCTTGTGCCTGCACAGTACCATGATTCTCCAGCACATGTAGCACAATATGTTTCTCTCAGCAATTTCTTGCTGAAACAGACGGAAAGCATGTGCTGCCAGCTACCAGCAGCTCGCGCGACGCGACAACTCCCAATCATCTTCGAGCGCGCGGGTAGTGCGCTTCGTCTGTTCGGCAGCGCTAGCAAGAGAGGCACGTGAGCTAGATTGCGATCCTTTGTGCTGACCATGTCACGTTGAAACACTTGAAATGGAAATGGGCATCGTGACGAGAAAATCGAGCGCTGCGAAACAAATGCCGCCCTGGTTACGTCAAGAGTACGCGACCGGCATCGCAGCGTTCTGTTCCTAACACGTGACAATCGCACATGCCATGATCCTATAATCTCGGCTTCCGATTGGTCATCCAAGATAACGCGTTTTCCGCAAAGGTCGCGAAGGATAGTCGCCACTAACGAGTACCGCGGCCTTTTGGAGGACATGCAAGCTGCGCTTTTGACAGCCTAATGGCGTCAGAAATGGCGGTGGGAAACTCCCAATAACCACCGAGGACGACAACTGTTAGCATGAGGAAAATCTGGAATAGGTTAGGGACTATTGACGATTCTATTCGAATCGAACGCTGAGTGCAGACTCGCTTTCTAGAAAGGAAATGGGGACGGGGGAGGTGGGTGACGAGAAATGAGAATGGATGAATGAACTAAGAAACACTTGGGTACACTAACCCTAATTAGGTTGTACCCCTTATGGGCTACCCCACTACAGCCTACACAAATGTATAAGCTATAGTGTTGACACACCCCCATAGGTAAAGTAGGGGAGAACAAGCGGTCACAAGACCAGTCAAGCAAAGCAAAGCAAGCTCAGGGTGGATCACAAAGTCACCACACAGTCCGAGCACAAGAGTAAGGCCACAAGACCAATTCACATGCAAGAACATATATATAAAGGTAAACAAGCAAGTGCAGGTATAGAAAGAATACAATACAAACAAGATCAAGAAGTGAGCAAGTGAGGCCAGGTAGGCACAAGACCTAGCAAAGTACAGAAGCGCAGATAATCACAAGGCGGAAGGGCCTTGGTGAAGATATCAACAGTGTTGGCCTCAGAGGCCACGTAGGTGAGACGGAGCTGACCACGCTGCTGTAGCTCACGAGCCAAGAAGTAGCGGAGAGCAATGTGCTTCGTTCTGTGCTCCAGTCTGTGCTCCCGACATAAGGCCAGCATGGCCTTGTTGTCTACGTACAGAACTGGAGGAGAACGAGGCGCCTCTCCTAGGTCAGTCAGCAGGTAGGTGAGCCAGCGTAGCTCCTGTGCAGCCATGGCCCCTGCGTAGATCTCAGCCTCACAGCTGGAGCTGAGAACAGAAGACGAGCGGGTAGACCGCCACGAAACAAAGCCGGAGCCAAGGCTGAAGGTGTAACCCTATGACATGTCAGAATATTATTCTTATGTTCTAGCCTGTAGTGGGGTGCTCTATAGCGAGTACAACCCTTCTAGGGTTTGCTATTTGTATCCCCATTTCTGCTAGTTCATTCCTCTTTCTTCTTCTAACTTTTGTCATGACAACCGCTGCAGAGCCTGGTCGTCAGCCCAATAAGCGTCAGCGTGACCTGTGAGGACTACTCGACGTCGCCCTCCAAGCACTAGCCCCATGCCCAACGGACTGCACACGTAGCGCAACACCCTCTTCGCTGCAGCCATGTGCTCTGGTTGGTGTCTCCTAGGAGCAACATAGTGTGCCAAGATGCTAAGAGGGTATGGAAGGTCAGCTCGTGTGCAGGTCATCACATAGATGAGGCAGCCAACAAGCTCTGGGTATGGGCCACTCGACTCTACGGACTCATCCGAAGGCAGAGCTGAGAGCGAGTGGCGAGTAGACAGAGGAGTGGCCTGAGGCGAGGAGTACGTGAAGCCAAAGCGCTGAAGGACTTGCTGCACCATGTGTGACTGAGTCAGGGTAATGGTGCGCTGTGCTCTGTCCCGGGTGAACTGCAAGCCAAGGTAGCTGCGTAGTTCACCCACGTCTGTGCACGTGTGTCTCTTCTCCAGCTCGGACTTCATGTGGGCGAGTCCAGCAGTGTCAGCAGTGGCAAAGACCAAGTCGTCGACATACACGAGGATGTAGAACGGCGGCAGAGAGGTGTCGCTGCGCAGAAGCAGCGACGGGTCGGCTGTAGAAGGAGCAAACCCAAGACCCCCAAGTGTAGTCCTCAGTGTGTCGTGCCACTCACGGGGTGCGTAGCGGAGACCGTAGACTGGCCGCCGGAGGCTCCACTGGGTACCAAGAGGAAACAATCCAGTGAAGGCAGGAGGGCGGCGCAGCCAGATCTCCTCGTGCAGGCTCCCCTGCAGGAAAGCTGTGCTGAAGTCAAGAGAGTGAAGCTTGTAGTCACGCTGAGCGGCTATGTGCAGCAGCACCCAAAGAGTGGTCATCTTCAGGGTGGGAGAGAAGGTATGAAAGTAGTCAACTCCCTGCCGCTGACTGAAGCCTCGAGCCACGTAACGCGCCTTGAAGACAGGCGGAGAACCTGGCGGCCGCTTCACCCTGAAAATCCACATGCCACTGATGATTTTCGCCCCAGGCGGAGGAACCTCGTCAACGTAGGTGCCTGTGGACTTCCAGGAAGCCATCTCTGCGTCCATGGGTGACAACCAGTGAGAGAAGTAGGGACCCTCGATTGCCTCAGCGTATGATCGAGGAGTCGGGATGTCTTGTGCATCCGAGTCTCTCTCAGGGGCAATCAGCGTGGACACGAGATGGGGCAAAGCAGCCACAAAGCACTGGAACTCCTCCTGCCTGTCCTCAAGGACGTCCGTGCCAAGGGCACACTCACCCCCGACGGACGGAGGACAGACAGACGCAGACTCAGCAACAAGACTAGCAGCGTAGTCTAGACGACATCGTGCAGCAAAGTCGACGAGCTCAGCAACAAGAGCAGACGCAGCAGTGGACTCAAAGAAAGGGTCAATGACGACAGTAGCAAGGAGACGCGTGACAGTAGGACTGGCAGCACGAAGAGAGTCCGACGTAGGGTCGGCAAGAGCAGGAAGAGAGGACTGAGGAGGAGAAGGCAAAGGGGCACGCAGAGGAGCAGTGGACGGACGCAGAGACATCCGGTGCGTGCCACGGACAGGAGGAGGACGCTGACGCGAACCGCGACCACTAGCGCGAGCAGTACAAACAGACGACACAGGACGAGACGCAGGCTCACGACGCTCAGCAAGACCTCCAGTACGACCAGTGTAGGGAGAAGGAGCAGGCAGTGGGGAGGCCGGCGGTAACTGTGACTGTGACAGGACAGGCGGTGGACACTCTAAGGGAGGAGGAAGACTAAGAACCTGCTGAAGGAGCGGAACAAAGTACGGCCGAGGCCGTGCGGCGACTCCAGCCACAGCAGGGACAGCACCAGCACCCCCAGAGGCAGCACTAGCGCCAACAGCACCTCCACCTCCAGCACCACCAGCAGCACCACCAGCATCCGCAGCAGGACCGCCGTCAGGACCGACAGCAGTAGCCTCAGCGCCAACACCCTCAGCAGCACCGGCTCCAGTCAAACTCGCAGGCCCAGCAGCCCCAGCAGTACGCCTCAAGCGCCGGGCAAACCACTCGCGCAGCTCCTTTGGAGAGAGTGGCTCCCGCCGAGTGGAAGCGCCTGGAGACCCTCCAGGCCCAGCACCGCCAGACGTCACACTAGCAGGTCCAGCAGTCGCAGTCTCCGCACCACCAGGCTCAGCAGTTCCAGACGTGGCACCCCCAGGCTCAGCAGCTCTCGACGTAGTACCCCCAGTCGCAGCACCCCCAGGCGAAGGACCCCCAGGCTCAGCACCCCCAGGCTCAGCACCCCCAGTCGCACCACCCCCAGGCTCAGTACCCCCAGGCCCAGCACCCACTCGCGCAGCACCCCTAGAGTCAGCACCCCAAGGCTCAGCACCCGCAGCAGTACCAGAGTCACCAGCAACCTCCACCGGGTCGACTGCGTCTACCTGGGACACACCTGAAGGGGCAGGACCCTGAGAGGGGAGGTGGTCTACCGGGGGGGGACCGGGCACAAGGAAAAGCGGAGGTGGGGGGAGGGAAGGAGTGCGGTAGGAGAAGAGACGGTAGTAGGGGACCGAATCGTCAAACGTGACGTCCTGGGAGGACAGAATACAACGAGAGGAGGGGTGGTAGAAATGCCACCCTGGTGCGTCAGGGGGGAAGCCAAGGAAGACACAAGGAGCCGCACGAGGGGATAGCTTGTCGGCAGACAGGTCGCGGACAAACGCCCGAGATCCCCAGACACGTAACGCAGACGCATCGCCAACCGTCCCCGTCCACAGCAAAGCTGGGGAGGTCTCCGGCATGGAGACCCTGGGGTGAAGGTTGATCTGATGCGCCACGTACCGAACCGCAAACGACCACAAAAAATGGGAAGCAGCCGCATGCATCATGGACGTACGAGCGACGTCCATGACCATGCCAATGCGGCGCTCAACAATCCCATTTTGCTGTGGAGAGTCCGGAAGCGTAATGGTCTGGCGGATGCCTCGCACACGGCAGAAGGCTCGCAGAAGGCCAGAGGAGAACTCTGCGCCTCGGTCAGAGTGCAGGCGCAGAGCAGGAAAGTCCGAGCTGAAGTTCCTCCTAAGCTTGAGACGAGCTGCGCGGATCCAGTCGATCAACACCTCAGTGACATCACCCTTGCTGCGCAAGGGGAAGACTGTGGTGTAACGCGAGTAGTCGTCAACCACCAACAGGAAGTAGCACTCGTGACCCTGTCCACGGACGCGGGTCGGGCCCCACACGTCCATGTGAAGGGTCTGCAGCGGGGCCTCTATCGGGGGAAACTGAGAGGAGTGCGGGGCAGCCCGGAGCCGCCCCTCGACACAAGGGACGCAGGAAGGACCAGGCCCCGGATGAAGGGGAGAGAGGGACCGGGGAAGACCAGAGACAAGGACACGGGAAGCCATGCCTCGGAGACGAGGCAGGGAGAGGTGACCAAGACGGTGGAGCCACAGGAGGGTCTCGTGAGACAGGAGGCGACACAGCAGGGGGCAGACTCAGGACCAGACCTGGACGTAGCAGCGAACACCTGACCCGACGCAGCTACCTGGCCTGACGCAGGGACAGGAGGAGACTCAGTGGTCAGGGTGTAGAGGCTTGACCCCGGCGGACGCGTAACCGTGGCCAGGTGCCTGCCTGTGCGAGCGTTCGAGCAGTGGGTCACCTGCTCACTCGCAGGAGTAAATTGGTGAACCCCCGCATCCTGTAGGTCAGCACCAGTCACCAAGTTTGTAGAGAACGAGGGGAGGTAAAGACCAGACAAGGTGCCAGAGGGGGCAGCCGGACACAGGAGGACATTAGAGAAGTGAGAGAGGACAGGGCCCCTAGAGGGGTCTGCCAGGGAGACTGCAACCGGCCGACCAAGCGGCGTGAGTGTGGTGCGGTCTCGAAAGAAGGAGCGAGAAGCCCCTGAGTCAAGTGTGAAGGTGAGGGAGGCCGAAGCCGACGCGGTACCTGAGAGCGCAGACGCACTGGCACCTGAGACTCACCAACACCTGAGGACGCAGACGCACTGGCACCTAGAGCAACAGCCTCGCTGGCACCTAGAGCAGCAACCTCACCAATACCTAGAGCAGCAGTCTCAATGCCCGGATCAGGCGGTAAACACCGGTAACATTCACCCTCATCACTAATAGTCACAGCATACATGGCAGCAAGGATAGTATCAAAGTCAAGATCATAGATAGCGACACCTGCCCTAGACAGCTCTCCCCAGCGGGGGATCTCACTAGCCTCCGGGAACTGCTGACGCCAAGCGTCCGTTAGGCGGCCAAAGCAGCGCTGGGTGGGGTGGGCACCCCCACACTGCTCACCCGCGCGGTCGCCGGAGCGAAGGACGTAGGTGCACGGACCAAAACCCCCACCACGCTGACGCTGCGTGTACCACTCACGGAGATGCTGAGGGGGGGGAATGTCCCGAGAACGCTGCTGCTGCTGCTGGCGCTGACCACCACCTGTGCTGCTCCGCTGCGAAGCGCCACCCCGACCACCTCCACCTCCTCCACCACCGCCTCCTCCACCTCCGCCACCACCGCCGCCTCCGGTACCACCGCTGCCGCCTCCGCCGCCTCCGCCTCCACTTCCGCCACCGACACCTCCACCCCCGCCACAACTCCCACCGCCACCCCCACTCCCTCCGCCGCCTCCACCGCCACCTCCACCGCCCCCGCTAGCTCCACCCGCGCCCTTGCCCCCCTTGCCCTTGCCAGAGCAACGTCTCCCGCTAGGGGCAGACGCCGCACCGACCGACTCAAGACCAACGAGGTCGGCCGTAGCGGCAGAGGTGATAGAGGGCAAAAGGGGGGAAGGGGAACACCCCTCAAAGATGGGGGTGCGAGGGTCACCACGAGAGGCTCCTACAGCGACTATGCTCTTCTCCGCTGCTAGGAGGGCCTTCTCTAGGAGGTCAACAGTGAGAGTGGTGGGACAGACTGAGAGGAAGTGGTCCCGGACTACACGAAGGGAGTCAGGGAGGCGGGTGACTATATAATAGAGAGTGATGTACATGGGGGGGGGGGTTCTTGGCGCAGAACTCAGCAGGAAGCGCGGTGCGGTAGCGAGTGTCACTAGTGCAGAGGTGCATAATGAGGTCAGCAACTGTGGGAAAGGCAGCAAGGTCAGGGAAGAGGTACGGTAGCATGAGGCGGCTCAGTGCAGCAGTTGCAGGGGAAGAGTAGCGCGCAACTACAGCGTCGTACAAGGTCTGAGCACTCTTGTACTGACCAAAGTGCGCGCGCTCAGTGGTAGGCAGGTGGCGACGCACAGCAAGACGTGCAGCACCATCGCGCGTAGCCTACTGGGAGCGAACAGCGGGGTCAGCATCAGCAGCAGGGGCAGGAGAGGCGCCAGAGGTGAGGTCAAAGAGAGAGAGACCGTATGCCCTATCGCACTGTAAGAACAGCTGCAGGTCGTCGACCCAGACCTCAAAGTCAATGGCTCGACCCTCAGCGTCAAAAGCGAGGACACTAGGGGTAGCCATGACAACAGTAGACTAGTAGTGCAAGCAGTAGGGAAAGGGCAGTGCAGTGACAGAGGCGCTGTGCTCACCGGACAGGGCTGCTCGGGCGGCTCGGCGGTAGGGCGGCTCGGCGACTGGGCGGCTCGGCTGCTGGGCGGCTCGGCGGCTCGGCAGCTCGGTAGCTGGGCTGCTCTGCTGCCGAGCGGCTCGGTTGTGCTGCTCTGCGGCGCGGCGGTCGGCGGCTCAGCTGGGTGAGGCGGCTCGGGCGGCTCGGGCGAGGGGCGGCGCTGCAGTAGTTGAAGGTGGCGGGGCCGCAACTAAGGGCGGCGGGGCCGCAAGTGAGGGCGGCGGCCCGCAGGTGAGGGTGGGGACGGGCCGCAACTGAAGGCGGCGGGGCCGGAGGTGAGGGCGGCGGGGCCGCAACAGGGGGTGGCAGGGCCGCAAGTGAGGGCAGCAGGGCCGCAAGGGAGGGCGGCGACGGGCCGCAGGTGAGGGCGGCGACGGGGCCGCAAACGAGGGCGGCGACGGGCCGCAAGGGAGGGTGGCGGGGCCGCAACAGAGGGCGACGACGGGGCCGCAGGTGAGGGCGGCGGGGCCGCAGGTGAGAACGGCGACGAGGCCGCAAGTGAGGGCGCCAACGGGCCGCAGGTGAGGGCGGCAACGGGCCGCAGGTGAGGGCGGCGACGGGGCCGCAGCTGAGGGCGGCGACGGGGCCGTAGTTGAGGGCGACGACGGAGCCGCAGGTGAGGGTGGCGGGGCCGCAACAGAGGGCGGCGGGGCCGCAAGCTAGGGCGGTGGGGCCGCAAGGGAGGCCGCTAGGGCGGCTCGACGAGTGTGAGAGGGGAGCGCGACTCGGGGAGCGCGCTCCGGGCAGAAAAAAAAAAAAATCGATGTGGTGGGCCCTAGGCACAGTTCCCACGAGGGAACCTGCTCGATACCATGAGAAACTTAGAACGAGAATGGAATTGCTAAGTGAAAGTTGGGTACAAATACAACCCTAGAAAGCTGTACCCCTTATGTGCTACCCCACTATAGCCTACAACAGCTATGTCATATAAATTTGACACCTGGGGCAGCAGACGCACTAGCACCTCGGGCAGCAGACGCACTAGCACCTAGAGCAGCATCCTCACCAGCACCTAGAGCAGCGGCCTCAATGCCCGGGTCAGGCGGTACACACAGGTAACAGGCACCCTCAACACTATCAGCAACAGCATACATGGCAGCAAGAATAGCATCAAAGTCAAGATCAAAGATAGCAACCCCGACTTTAGTCAGATCTCCCTAGCGAGGGATCTCTGATGCCTCAGGGAACTGACGACGCCACGCGTCCGTCAGGCGACCAAAGCAGCGCTGGGTGGAGTGCGGGCCTCCGCACTGCTCACCAGCGCGGTCGCCGGTACGGAGGACGTAAGCGCAGGGACCAAAACCCCCACCGCGCTGACGTGCAGTGTACCACTCACGAAGCTGCTGAGGGGACAGGGTCACACCACTCCGCTGCTGCTGCTGGCGCTGACCACCACCGGCGTCACTCCTCGGCGCAGAGTCGCGACCCGCTCCACCACTGCCACCTCCGCCGCCGCCTCCGCCGCCTCCTCCACCTCCCCCTCCTCCACCACCTCTGCCGCCTCTGCTCCCTCCGCCACCTCCACCGCCTCCACTGCTGCCGCGGCCGCCACCACCCCCGGCACCACTCCCACCACCACCCCCACTCCCTCCATTGCCTCCACCACCACATCCACTGCCCCCTCCAGCCCCTCCAGCGCTGTTGCCCCCCTTGCCCTTGCCGGTGCGGCGTCTTCTGCTCGGGGGAGACGCAACGCCGACCGACTCGAAACCAACGAGGTCGGCCGCAGCAGCAGAGGCAACAGAGGGCAAGAGGGGGGAGGGAGAACACCCCTCAAAGACGGGGGTGCAAGGGTCACCATGAGAGGCTCCTACAGTAACTATGCTCTTCTCTGCTGCTAGGAGGGCCTTCTCGAGGAGGTCAACGGTGAGAGTGGTGGGGCAGACAGAGAGGAAGTGGTCCCTGACTACGCGTAGAGAGTCAGGGAGCCGGGTGACTATGTAGTAGAGGGTGATGTACATGGGGGGGGGGGGTACTTGGCGTAGAATTCAGCAGGAAATGCAGCGCGGTAGCGAGTGTCACTAGTGCGGAGGTGCGTAATGAGGTCAGCGACTGTGGGAAAGGCAGCAAGGTCAGGGAAGAGGTACGGTAGCATGAGGCGGCTCAGTGCAGCAGTGGCAGGGGAAGAGTAGCGTGCAACTACAACATTGTACAAGGTATGAGCACTCTTGTACTGGCTAAAGTGTGCACGCTCAGTGGTCGATAAGTGGCGGCGCACAGCAAGGCGAGCAGCAGCATCGCGCGTGGCCTAGTGTGAGCGAACAGTGGCGTCAGCATCAGCAGCAGGGGCAGGGGAGGCACCAGAAGTGAGGTCAAACAGCGAGAGGCCGTCTGCCCTATCGCACTGTAGGAAAAGCTGCAGATCATCTACCCAGACCTCAAAGTCTACTGCCTGACCCTCAGCGTCGAAGATGAGAACGCTAGGGGAGGCCATAACAGTAGTAGACATGCATTGAGTACAGTGGGGCAGGGCAGTGCAGTGGCAAAGACTATGCTCTTACCAGGCAAGTTGGGCGGTCGGGCGGCTCGGCTGCTTGGCGGCTCGGCAGTCAGGCGGCTCGGCTGCTGGGCGGCTCGGCGGTCGGGTGGCTCGGGTGCTCGGTGCTGGGCGGCTCGGCGGTCGGGCGGCTCGGGTGCTGGGCGGCTCGGCGGTTGGGCGGTTTGGCTGCTGGGCGGCTCGGGGGTCGGGCGGCTCGGGGGTCAGGCGGCTCAGCTGCTCGGCGGTCCGGCTGCTCGGCAGTGCGGGAGCTAGGCGGCGGGGCCGTAGGTGTTGGCAAGGCCGCAGGTGGCTGCGGGGCTGCAGGTGGCGGCGGGGCCGTAGGTGGCGACGGGGCCGAAGGTGGCGGCGGGGCCGTAGGTGGCGGCGCGGCCGTAGAGGGGCCGAAACGGGGCCGTAAAGGGGCGAGACGGGGCCGTAAAGGGGCCAGACGGGGCCGTAGCGGGGCCTGACGGGGCCGTAGCAGGGCCAGACGGGGCCGTAGCGGGGCCAGACGGGGCCGCAGCGAGGTCAGAAGGGGCCGTAGCGGGGCCAGACGAGGCCGTAGCGGGGCCAGAAGGGGCCGTAGCGGGGCCAGACGAGGCCGCGGAGGGGCCTACATGGGGCCGCAAGAGGGGCCAGACGGGGCCGTGAAGGGGCCATAAGGGGCCAGACGGGGCCGCGGAGGGGCCTAGGCGAGGCCGCGAAGGGGCCTAGGCGGGGCCGTAAGGGGCCAGGCGGGGCCGCGGAAGGGCCTAGGCTAGGCCACGACGGGGCCGTAAGGGGCCTAAGCGGGGCCGTGAGGGGCTAGACGGGGCCGCAGAGGGGGCCTAGGCGAGGCCGCGTCGGGGCCGTAAGGGGCCTAAGCGGGGTCGTAAGGGGCCAGACGGGGCCGCGAAGGGGCCTAGGCGAGGTCGCGACGGGGCCGTAAGGGGCCTAAGCGGGGTCGCGACGGGGCCGTAAGGGGCCGTAAGGGCGGCGCGAGGGGCCGTAGAAGGCGGCGCGAGGGGCCGAAAGGGCGGCCAAAGGCGGCCACTAAGGGCGGCTCGAGGCGCTACTCGGGTAGGAGCGAAGCACGCTCCGGGCAGGGAAGAAAAAAAATCGTGGTGGGACCTAGGCAGCATTCCCACTTGGGAACCTACTCGATACCATGACGAGAAATGAGAATGGAGGAATGAACTATGAAACAGTTGGGTTTAAGTACTAACCCTAATTGGGTTGTACCCCTTATGGGCTACCCCACTATAGCCTACACAAATGTATATGCTATAATGTTCTGACAGTGGGGGGTTTGGGCGAAATTTGAAGGCATATGCCGGGAGAGGGAATTGGGCTCGTAGTTATTGTCCTATGTAACGGGAAAGCAGAGAATGGTGGAGAGGGAGGGAGAACTTGGACGAAGTAAGAGCGTGTCCGAAGTGAAGCGTCGAATGGATGTCGATGGATGTTGGTAAATGTCAACCCTCGGATCGAGAGTTCCAACCGTCAAGAATTTCCGACATCGGATGTGAACGGATGTCGACTTCACTTCGGACCCGCCCAAAGAAAAGAATTTCGGCCATTATCTCTAATAATCAGATTATTCCTGAGCGCGTTCTCAGGTGTAATCTACCTGGACTTTCTCAACGTTGATTCGTCGTCACTTTTTAGTCACATTTCTCACGCTGGTCGAACTCATTATGAAGTGACAAATGTCAGAACATATATGTAGCTTATGCTGTTGTGTAGGCTACAGTGGGGTATACCATAGGGGGTACAACCCAATTAGGGTTTTGCTATTTGTACTCACTTCACTCATAGTTCATTCATTCTTGTTCTATTTTCCACATGGTATCGAGCAGGTTCCCCCGTGGGAACTGTGCTTAGGGCCCACCACTTTTAAACCTTTTTTTTCTTCCCGGAGCGCGCTCCGGGCCCTCGCTCTCACTCTTTCGGCCTGCCCTGCAGGCCCCTAGCCGCCCGCGCGCCGCCTGTCCCGGCCCTTAGCCGCCCGCGCCCCGCCCGTCCCGACCCCTAGCCGCTCGCGCGCCGCCTGTTCAGGCCCCTAGCCGCTCGCGCGCCGCCCGTTCAGGCCCCTAGCCGCCCGCGCGCCGCCCGTCCCGGCCCCTAGCCGCTCGCGCGCCGCCCGTTTAGGCCCCTAGCCGCCCGCGCGCCGCCCGTATCGGCCCCTAGCCGCTCGCGCGCCGCCCGTATCGGCCCCTAGCCGCCCGCGCGCCACCCGTCCCGGCTCTCAGCCGCCCGCACGCCGCTCGTCCCGGCCCCTAGCCGCTCGCGCGCCGCCAGTTCAAGCCCCTAGCCGCCCGCGCGCCGCCCGTCCCGGCCCCTAGCCACCCGCGCGCGCCCGTCCCGGCCCCTAGCCGCCCGCGCGCGCCCGTCCCGGCCTCACACCACTGCACGCCGCCGTCCCGGCCCCCCCACGCCGCCCGTTAGCCGCCGTGCAGCCTGAGCCGCCCGAGCCGTCTGCGCAGCTGAGGAGCCGAGCCGCCCGAGCCGCCTGTGCCGCTGACTGCCCGAGCTGCCCGAGCCGCCTGAGCCGCCCGAGCCGCCCGAGCCGCCTCCCCCCCCCCCCTTTTCCCGTCGCCTGTCGAGGCGACCTGAGGGGGCCGCTTGCGGGGTGGCAGGTGTGTGGTCTCCCCTGCTTCTCCTCCTCCTTCGTCTCGAGCCGCCCTGCGGCCGAGCCGCCTCGCCACCGAGCCGCTTTACACCCGAGCCTCCCAGCAGCCGAGCCGCCCTGCAGCCGAGCCGCTCTACACCCGAGCCTCCCAGCAGCCGAGCCGCCCTACAGCCGCGCCGCCGGGTCGCCGAGCTGCCGAGCTGCAGTTGCTGCCGAGCCGCCCTGCCGCCGTGCTGCCGAGCCGCTGAGTCGCCGAGCCTACTCTACCCACCACTAATGCGGCCCCATCGACGTCTGCGTGAGTCCCTCACGCCCCAGCAGCTGCGTGAGTGGTACGCTGGTTGGGGCTGTAGGGGTGGTGGCGCTACTACTACTACCACTCCTGCTGCTTCTGCTACTGGTGGCGGCCAGATGCAGCTCCCGCGACCCCGCCGCACGTCTCTCACGCCTCAGCAGCTTCATGAGTGGTACGCTCAAAGTGGAGGGTCTCTCAGTTCTGTTCGCTGCTCTTACGTGATTCTCACTGGTGCTCGGACTGGTCAGCCTTGTGGGACACCTAGTCATACACAGTCCCGCTGCTTCGCCCGTCTGAGCGACGCCTGGCGTACCGTGTTTGGCGACGAGGCTGAGCTCCCCGACTGGGTGGAGTTGCTTAGGCAGAGGGTGGATATATTTGCTCTTGACTATGATGCTATTCTCACTGCCATGTATGCATTGCCTACTAGTGCTGACCGTACCGGTCACCTGTGCGTACCGCCTGACCCGGGTATAGGACCTGCTGCTCTAGCTACTGGTGAGGCTACTGCTGCTCTGGGTGCTAGTGAGTCTCCTGCTCCAGGTACAGGTGCGGCTGCTGCTCTAGGTGCTAGTGAGTCTGCTTCCTCAGGTGCGGGTGAGGCTGCGCTCTCAGGTGCCACGTTGGCTTCGGCCTCCCTCACCTTTACACTTGACTCTGGGGCTTCTCGCTCCTTCTTTCGGGACCGCACCACACTCACGCCGCTTAGTCGGCCTGTTGCAGTCTCCCTGGCTGACCCCTCTGGGGGTCCTGTCCTCTCTCACTTTTCCACTGTCCTCCCGTGTCCGGCTGCCCCCTCGGGCACCCTGACTGGCCTGTACCTCCCCTCGTTCTCGACGAACTTGGTGAGTGGTGCAGACCTGCAGGATGCGGGGGTTCACCAGTTCACTCCTGCGAGTCAGCGGGTGACCCACTGCACGGACGCACGCACAGGCCGGCACCTGGCCATGTTCTCGCGTCGGCCGGGGTCGAGCCTCTACACCGTGACCACTGAGTCTCCTCCTGTCCCTGCGTCCGGTCAGGTAGCAGCGTCAGGTCAGGTGTTTGCTGCTGCGTCCAGGTCTGGTCCTGAGTCTGCCCCCTGCTCGTGTCGCCTCTTGTCTCACGAGACTCTCCTGTGGCACCACCGTCTTGGCCACCCCTCCTTGCCCCGTCTTCGGGGCATGGCTTCCCGTGTCCTTCTCTCTGGTCTTCCCCAGTCTCTCCCTCCCCTTCCTTCGGGACCAGGACCTTCCTGTGTCCCCTGTGTCGAGGGGCGCCTCAGGGCTGCTCCTCACTCCTCCCAGTTTCCCCCGACAGAGGCTCCTCTGCAGACACTTCACATGGACGTGTGGGGCCCGGCCCCCGTCCGTGGGCAGGGTCACGAGCGCTACTTCCTGTTGGTGGTTGACGACTACTCGCGTTACACCACATTCTTCTCCTTGCGCAGCAAGGGTGCTATCACTGAGGTGCTGATCGACTAGATCCGCGAGGCTCGTCTCCAGCTCAGGAGGAGCTTCGGCTCGGACTTTCCTGTTCTGCGTCTGCACTCTGACCGAGGTGGGGAGTTCTCCTCTTGCCTTCCGCGAGACTACTG